CCTGAGTCTTTCTTTCTTTCTTTCTTTTTTTCTTTCTTTCTTTGAAAGCTGCTTCATGGCCACTATATATCAGATTATTTGGATAAATTTGCAGTTCAACTTTTCTTTTTCTTTGATATTGTCATGAACCCATTTCACCTCTTACTCTCTCAGTTTCAAATTAGTCTTTTATCCTTTCTAGCAATTAGCGAACATATTCATTTTCCATAGCCAAGCTGTTCCTTTTGGTAAGGAATAGATGAAGCTGGAAGGAGATAGGTAGCCGCACTTACCTCATTTGTATTCACATCCAAACAAACTGGACCAAGGAAAAGAAAAGGAAGACATAGTTGCACCAATGGTAAAGATGAATAATGGGCTGCACATTATGTAAAAAGAAAAACCCAAAAAAAAAAAAAAAAGAAAGAAAGAAATAGAGGGGGACCATCTTCACGTGCTAATGTGCACCGCCTGAGCATGGAGCCAAATTTCGAATTAAATGAAGAAAGGGAAGCCCAAAAGAACATATATATATATATATATATATATATATATATACAAGTCTCTCCGGCTTATTGTCGCTAGGGTAAATGAAAACAGCTACAGATCATTAGTTAGTACTATCTACTTCAGTTTCTTTTCTTTTTTCTTTTTTCTTTTTTTACTTATACTTATTAATTCCAAGTCTTTGAAAACAAATCCCAATCAAAACTTGGTCTGCTGAATTATTGCTATATGCTAACATGCACCTTTTACACGCCATTGGAGAGTTCAGTTCTTAGCCTCATATAACTCATAATTAAAGAAACTTTCCTGTCGTTTTCTTTTCTTTTCTTTTGTCTTTTTTTATTCTCTTATTGTTTCGCTGAGCCAGCCTTAAAAATTGAAGAGAGAAGACTACTAAACTTAAAACCAATATTCCATAGCCATTAATAAAAAGATCAAACCAGCTATCTGAAGATATCTATATGTATAGCAGTGATTTTAGGCACAAATGAGTAAAAGTACAGAGTTTTCAGTCCCTGGAAGGAATTTTTTTTACCTTTTGTTATTTTTTGTTTATGTGGTTTTAATTTATCCGTTGCACCGTGCTTTTGGTGATGAAGAAACGTAGAAGCGATGGGGTCTGGGAGTTGGAAAAGGTCAAGCACGTGTGGCTGAGATTGCAGTCGTCCAAGGCCAAGGGGATTATAACTGGCTACCGACGCTGCCAGTGGCCAAATGGGATTGGTTTGTTTTGTAGTAAAAAAAGAGAGAGAAAACTCCATCTTTAGATCTTTGCAGCTAAAGCTAACAATGCGCTCTCATGGGGCTGCCGTCGCCGGCCTCACTTTATGGGGTCGTCTCATTATTGGTTAATTTAATTTAATTTAATCCAAATAAATTTATCTCATTATGCTGACATTAAGTAAAAAAATAATAAAACATAAATCCAACAACTATCATAGAATAATTCATAAATTATAATATCGTTTGACATAATTTTTTCTACCATTTAATAACCCTAAATATGTTTGATTCAACATCTAAAGTTAAAAAAAAAAATTTTCACTTACATCAACTCATATCACTATTAAATATTTTAATTTACCAACCATTTATCAATATATTAATTTAATTTAAAAATTATTATTAACCTTTATAAAATACCAAATATCAAATTTTAAAATAAATATAAATTTCAATAGCCATCAAACATCAATTTATCATAAAAATCACCATAAAGTTATAACAACAAAATCTGAATAAAGCAGTAATATAATAATTTTTAATACAACAATCATTTTCAATCTTTAAGAAAAATTACCAAATGTAAAATTACTTCGGTCCCTAAACCCCCTTTTTTTTTTATATGAAACAAATTACATTCCATGAGATGATATTAATGGACCGGTGGGTGATATTGAATTGAATTCATGAATTCTAGGCTTCGTTTGGCCCATTGGCATTTTCCTATGCATGGTAAGAGGGCATCTCACAATAAAGTCTTGGCCCTTGCCAAGAACTTGCAGTCATCATAAATTGGTTTCTTGGGCAAACCTAGTTATATCATTTCGCTAATTCTACTTAAGAAATATCAATATGCAATCTGATAAGTGGTTTTGAACTTCATAATAACCTTTTAAAAGGGGCTATGAAAATTTTAAATCATCTCTCCAAGTGGTTTCATGTAGCTGCAAAAATAAGTTAAAGGTTACTAATTTCTATATCCTATTATCAATATGATGATGGTTGCATCAATAAATAGCTTTCTAGTTTCAACCTGGTCATTAAACCTTTAAATTAAAAGAGGCTATGGTAAAAAAAATTCTTTTTTTGCTGAATCTTATTCAATATAATTTCTCATGAATCCGTTAAATATGATATTATATCAGCTTGAGAAGAAAATATATCGAGTAAAATCTAAGAATTCCTTGTTCCTAAAAAAAAAAAAAACTCGTGAATAAAATAATTATCGTGTAGTGGCTTGTTTAATTACAAAAATCAATTGATAGCTTATTTTAATTGATAATGATTTAAGCACTGTATATCACTATGTTTTTGTAACATGAGTAATGCTATTTTGTCTTACAGTTGGTGAAGAAAAGGTGAAAGAGATAAAGATGCAGAGTCTTGAATCTTGATGGAGTGTAACCCAAGGCCTGCATGCTAATCAAACAAATAGTTCTAAAGGTTGAACCCTTTGAAAAATTTATACTACTTGTCTTTTAATTTCAACACTTACTGATTTACACTATATATGTCTTTCTCTTTCTTAAATATTTTTGTTTATTTTAGTATTAATTTACGTTTATATATCTATACATATATGAATATGCATTTGTTTATTCAGCGATGCCTTTATAAAAATTCTGAATGATTGCTATGAAATTGATGGCAATTAAGTTTTGATGTGTGTATATATATAAATATATATATATCATCAAAATATATGTAAAGTTCAAATGTATCTGTCAACAGCTCAATATCAATATTTTAAAAGATTTTGAAATAATGATATGAATTATCAAAAAAGAGAGGAGGACCATCTATACCAAATAGGAGGAAGCTTCGATTTTCAATTAAAAACATACCCTTTACCAATGAGAGCTAATATGATAGTGAAATCAATTCCAAAACTAATTAAAGATTTTGAGTTGGAACCCTAATCGTAGTTTAAAAGATAATATATATATATTGTATTGTCAATTCATTTACTGAAATTTGCGGGTCTTTGAATTTTAACAATTCTCTTATTGAGATAGCCTATTTAGCAAATTCACACACCAAAAAAACTGTAATTGTTAACACCATTAATTTATTAGTTGTAAACTTGTAATCTGCCTTAATATATTCATGGCTAGCTGGATTCATGGCTAGCTGGATATACTAATCAGAGACGTGTATCTTCTTTGATTAATCAAGATTTGGTGCTAGATGCCTCAACATTTGTTATATTTTATGCATGCCTTGCCTGCCATGAGATTTATCTAATCTCATGTTGTTCAAAAATTAGTATATTCTCACAAGTTTGATGTGTTAGAAACCAGCTGATTGGCCGAAATGTTGTCAAGCAAGCCCTTCTATTTAAAGTTTGTTTTAAAGTTCCAACAGCTCTTACCAAACATACCTTGTCCTTTCCAAGTGAATGCCTGAAATGCTGACTACAATTTTTAGAGACATGGTACGAACCATTTTTTGGGAATTGTTATTATAACAATCATATCACATGCTCAAAATAAACTATATATTTCGGATTGCTGTGGAATGCTTCCCATATAGGTTGGAACTGGGACCGATCACTCTCACAGCAGGTAGCCTAAGTATAATTAATATGATAACAAGAAGCAGCCCATTAAAACTTGAATACCAATATGGCAATATGGAGAAGAAAACTGCAAGAAACTGGAAAATGCATGAGAACATTTTCAGGGAGAATGATGGTTTCTGTTGATGATTTGAAATATTTCATCAATTCTCTCGTCATCATATACCGTTTTATGGATTGATTGATTAATACTAATATGGCTATTTCACACTTTCAAGGAATTATATATTCACGTGGCTGAAAATTACACTTATGTAATGAGTTCTTATTTATGAGGTTGGCAATTTGGCATCTCACTTTGTTCTAGAATAATTCAGAGGATAAACATTATGAAGAGCTAGCAGAAGACTCTCCAGTCTCCACTTCCCTTGGATTGCAGAAAAATAAGGGAAAGTTACAAAGAAATTTCATTGCGTCCAAGGAATCAGATGTCATGTCAACTACTTGGTCGATCTATTGATTTCACAAGGTTGACAGTACTGGCCAAGAACACTTGTTTTACATCTTAGATCACTGAGGACGCTATGAACTTTTGTTAGGCTGAAAAGCAAGTTATTTACGTTGTACCATTGTTGTTGCTCGTTGAAGTCAAGGATCTGGGTTTCTTAGCCATTCAGGTGAAAAAAAAAGTTCAATTTATGTGAAAATTTGTCAAATCCAGGATTAGATTAGTGGATTCAATTAAGCAAAAGGTTAATATACCTAGTTCTCAAACTATCTCCGATATACGTAGATTGAATAATTATTAGAGAAACCCTTTAATTAATTTTGATTGTATGTAGTACCAACAATCATTGACTTCTAGAAGTTTGTTTAACATTTCACGGCAATTTTTAACTTCGCTTCAGACTTAATCAAAGAAAATTCAGTTAAATACATCCAAAAGATGCCTATTTTCTACTAAGGTTGTCGGTGGGCATTTGATAGGATTTGAATCCATTAATTTTTAAAACTCTAATCTTTTTATTTTGTGTGCACTGTGCATTCACGAGAAAGTGAGAGGGAAAAAATGAAATGGACCCATATGGGTAAAAAAAAAGAAAAGAAACCGTTGAACAAATCAAATTTTAAGTCGCTGAGAAATATAAATCCTTATACATTAAGATATACAAATGAAGTAGAGGTTGACGGGTGAAGGTTTTCTATATATAATGGCTAGATGGAAGCCATGCATTCGCACACTAAGAAACCAGTTTCAGGGAGGAAACTCACAATGTTCTCTTCAAATATTGCCTATTCTTCCTTCTTCTTGTCAACCATTTCTCTGACATTATTGATTTATCAATCGAGAGCTCAATTGAATTCTACATTTTATGATACCACATGCCCCAATGCGTCGAGCATCGTTCGCGGTGTTATCCAGCAGGCTTTGCAATCAGATGTTCGGAATGGTGCCAGCCTTCTTCGTCTGCATTTTCATGATTGCTTTGTCAATGTAAATTCAAGCTCCAAAGACTCTGCATATCAATTGTCCAATCTGAAAGTGTATTGTTGTCTGATTCCCTTTTTGGATTTACTTGATATGAAGTTTATGGTGATTTAATTATCGCAGGGATGTGATGGTTCAATCTTGTTAGACAACAGCGCCAACATAAAGAGCGAGAAAGATGCTGGTCCAAATACTAACTCCACTCGAGGCTTCAACGTTGTTGATAACATCAAAACTGCTCTTGAAAACTCTTGTCCTGGCATCGTCTCTTGTGCTGACATTCTAGCCCTTGCTGCTGAAGCTTCTGTTTCTTTGGTAAGCCCATAAAGAGTGCCAAAATTTATCAAACATCAATTAAGGTAGTATTAAATGAATATCGAGCCATGAAATAGGTAAGCTATCTAGCTCACAAATTATCCCTTATGCTTGAAGCAAGGAGGTCCTTCATGGAAAGTACTACTAGGAAGAAGAGACAGTTTGACAGCAAACCAAGCCGGAGCTAATTCCTCCATTCCCTCACCATTCGAAAGCTTAAGCAACATCACTTCCAAGTTCAATGCAGTCGGGCTAAATACTAATGATCTCGTCGCATTATCTGGTAATTACTGTATTCATATTTGCATTAAATTCTCGAGTAACTGAAACGTGATCTTGATTGTTATATTTTTCCATCTGTAATTATGTAGGTGCACATACTTTTGGACGTGCACAGTGCAGAATTATCAGCAGCAGGCTGTACAATTTCAGCGGAACAGGCAACCCTGACCCAACACTCAATTCATCATACTTGACTACCCTCCAACAAACCTGTCCTCAATCCGGAAGCGGATTCAATGTTGCAAATCTTGATCCTACGACTCCTAACATTTTTGACAATAACTATTTTTCCAACCTTCAAAACAATCAGGGCCTTCTCCCGTCAGACCAAGAGTTGTTTTCAACAACTGGGGCTCCCACTATCTCCATTGTCAACACCTTCAGCAGTAACCAAACTGCCTTCTTTCAAAGCTTTGTTCAGTCAATGATAAATATGGGGAATATCAGCCCATTAACAGGAAGCAACGGAGAGATCAGATCAGATTGTAAGAAGGTTAATGGAAGTTAATTAACCTCTGTAATCTGTAAAGATACAGGATTAATAGGAGTTGCTAGCTTGTTACAAAATCAAAATCAAGCTATGCATGCATAGATAGGTTGTTGGACTTCTTAATTTAAGTAATCGGGCTTGAGAATAATAATAAAAAAAATGGATTTTATAAAGAATCAAAACTGAAATATTCTCAAAAATAACGGGAGCATATCATGTTTGTATTCAGTGAAGTTTGATCTGGAAGCAGAATATCCATCACCAGTTGTTCCTGTAAAAGATAAATTTGTGAAAGAATTTTATTGAAATTTATTGTAACAATGACCAGGCATCTGTCACAACTTGGTTCTATCCTTGTATGTACTGGCTGCACCACTCGCTGAGAAACAGGGAAATTATCTAGATCCAATATCAAATTATCAATTAATCTCATCAAAAACTTGTCTAATTTTTCATCAAAATGCGGCCAAGACATCATCTATTCTGTAGCCGGTCGTTCAAATCAGATCAATCCTGTAATAAAAATTAAAAATAAAAGATGAAAGATGAATTGACTCAGCGTGAGAAAATTGAAACATGTAATAAAAACATTGCAATATATAGAAAATTTATCTTGGACTCATACCCGTTCGTGTTCAAGCTGAAGTCAGACATCCATTGACACTGTGTGTTCGTGACAAAGAAATCTTGAAACCTTGAAATTTCAAGTTTTAAGTAGTTCAAGTTTCATTATATGTGTTGATTTCATTTTATTTTAGATATATTTATTTGATTTTATTATTGATTTCATATGTGTTGGTTCAACCTTATATTAAATTTATCTAATCACATGATGATTCATATATTGATTTGTTTGTTTAATTTAATTTATTCATTTTTTATATCAATTTGAGAATAAATATATATATAAATGTTTGAATTTAAATTTTAAATTTATTGAATATCGCTTATGAAAATGATTGTATAAATTAATTAAATGAAATCTCAAATTTTAATTTTTTGTATAAAAATATAATATTGTATCATAATTGTAATTTTTCTTGTACCAATATTTTCACTTTTGAAGAATTTTTTTTTTTTTTTCATCATTCATAATATGCATCTACATGTTATTGCACATCTACATGTAATTTTGCAATAATGCAACTCGGCAATCATAAGTTAGGAGTTCTAAAACATTTATTTGGCAAATAGTCTGAGTAGAAAGGGGGTATTGGAATTTGAACTTTGAATCTCAATCTTTCTAAAGAGAATAACAATAGGTAAATCAAAATTGAGAGCATATGTACAAACAATTTTCAAGTCAAATTAATAGAATAATTATTTCTTACAAATATGGTCAACCAGTCAGTTAAGAAATAATAGATTTTTGACATGGACCAATAATGAATCTCCAATCCCCAAATTAGAGTCTTAAATATAGGATTCATTCAAATTATAAATAATTATAAATTCTTAAGTAGTTTTCAATAAAAATGAGTTCCGTCCCTCACATTTATAATTTTTTTTAATTTAAAATTTATTTCGATTAGTTCATACGATTATTTTTAAAAGATAATATATAATAATTTTAAATTTTAATACTTATAATATATTTTTTTTATACTATTGTATAATCTCAATTTTTTAAAAAATACAATCATTTTTATTACGATTAACAGCTAATCTAACATGTGAAAAAAGCATGATTTGTTTACATCATGAAATCAAATTACAAAATACAGACTAACTTTTTTCCAATTTTATTGGAGATGTTACAAAAATTGAAGAGCTATTTTTTTAAAACAATTAATACTTTTTACTTCTCAATTTTTTTCTTTGTCATGTTAAAAAGCATTGATTTTTTTTTATTTTAAATGTAAAATACATTAAAATTAGAGTACTTTTATCTTAATAATAATTATTTAAAAGTCAAACATGACTAAAAAAAATATTTTTGTTGTGTTAAAGTGATTAAAATTATGAATGCAATTATTTTATCATTACAACATTGAAATCCTACAAATTAAAGATTAATGTTAGTAAAACATTTTTATAAATGCACAAATGAGATAAATAAATCTTAGTCCAGGCACTGCTGGAATGTCAGTTGGAAATCTACCTACAAAATATCACAGATTATGATCTCCCATTATCCCTCCTAGATTTTGCCATGTCATCATCCAATATCCACTCTATTCATCGTAACCGTTGATTAAACCCAATCATAGATTATAAAAAAGGGACAGATCCACAAAATCCCCCCACTCTCTTCTCTCCCTTTCTCTCTCCTTCCTTGGAGGCTTGGTACCTCACTTATTTTTTTTTTCTATTTCTTTTTTATTTTTTTAATTCCCCATTTTCTCTCTAAACAAGATGGGAGGTCGCTGACCCAAGAAACTATCAATTTATGGAGAGTCAAGTTGAACACAACTCAACTCAGAAACAGCTTCTACCATCCAACTCTGGCTCGGAGCACTTAAAAAAGCTCCGAGTTTGATGGTCTTGTTCATCAGCTGTTAAAGCCAGGTCTTTTTTTTTTCTTCTGTAAGTCTCATTTTTACTATTATTTTTCTGTATTTATTATTGTTGTTTTTGAAGTGACCGTCTTGATGACCTAAAACTAGATTCTTTAACTTGAGAGGTTGTAAATTTGGGTTTTAGATCTGGGTTTCTTGATATTTGTGATGAAATTAGGGTTTTACCTTTTGGTTTTGATGAATTTCTGATAAAGGAATAGTTTTTGGATTTGGGTTTTATTGGTTTTTAGGGTAAAAGTTAGGATTTTTATGATATGGGTATGTTTGGTTTTTTGATTCTGTGATATTAGTTTCTTTAATTTTAGGGTAAATTTGAGGTTTTTATATCTGGGTACCTTAAACTTGTGAAGATTATAAGGAGGGTTTTATCTGCGGTCGAAAAGAAGGGTTTCTTTTTGTTTTTTTTTTGGGAGCATTTGTCATGGGTGATGAAACATCTGATACAATGAACCTTGATTTGAATCTGGATCCTGCTCCCGAGACAGGGCCAGTATTAGGGTCGAATGAAGGTGTGAATTGGGATGATTTGGTTGAGGGCCCATTTGATAGGATTAGAGAAGTTATTAGGCGAAGGCGGTGGAGATTGCCGCAGGTTCAAGTTCCTGCTGCAACTCAGAACTCCTTTGCGGAATTGGATCAATTTATGGGTAATTCAGGCAATGTGAGTACATTGCATGCAGGTGAGGGCAGCGTTGCTGCCGAGGAAAGAACGAGTGACATACCGAAAGCATGTGAAAATACCAATGGATTTTTGGAAGAAGAGGTTTCAGAAAAAAAGGATGATGTTGAGAAGGGTGTTAGCAATGATGGGAGCTTTTTCGGTTGTAACATATGCCTGGATTTGGCTCGGGAACCTGTTGTAACTTGTTGCGGTCATTTATTTTGCTGGTCTTGCCTCTACCGATGGTTACATGTTTATTCAGATGCTAAGGAATGTCCTGTCTGCAAAGGAGAGGTGACTGTTAAAACTCTGACCCCAATTTATGGTCGGGGGAACATTACCCATGAGCCAGAAGAGGACTCTGATCTTAAGATCCCTCCTCGGCCCGCTGGTCGGCGGGTGGACAGTTGGAGGCAAACTATTCAAAGGACTGCTTTTAATCTCCCAGTGGAGGAGATGATTCGCCGCCTTGGAAGCAGATTGGATTTGGCCCGTGACCTGACTCCACCACGGGAGACCAATGGTACCAGGGAAACCATGGAAAGATCTAATTCTGTTCTTAACAGGATTTTGGCATCTCAAGGACTGCGTGGAGAGCAAAATTCAGTTGTGTCCCTTGATGATGTTGACTTGATGCCTAGCAGCACAACGGGTACTGGTTTTATGTCCTCCCGCATTCATTCATTGTTCGTTCAAAGATATCCACATTTGCGAAGAGGTGCAAGACTTACTTCTCTGTCATCTGCATTGAGTTCAGCAGAAAGGATAGTTGAGACATATTTTCGAAGCAACCAGGTGGGAAGAAATCAGGAGCAGCCACCATCGGTTGATGATAGAGATTCTTTCTCAAGCATTGCTGCCGTAATAAACTCAGAGAGTCAAATGGACACTGCTGTCGAAATAGACTCTGGGGTATCACTTTCAGCTTCATCTTCTAGGAGAAGAAATGATGCTTCAAGGATTACAGATGTTGACAGTGGCGACTCTCGCGCACACAGAAGGAGAAGACTGAACTAGGAGCTAGAAGATATTTAGCATAGCTTACGTCCTGGAACTGCTCCAAAATAGTTTTAACTGCATTCCATCTATATTGCTTTTACTTTACAAAGAATTCAGCTTCAACATTTATGATTTTGACAAGGGTGATCATAAGGGTTTGAATATGTTATGCTCACATTATGTGAATTGAGAAATGGTATCATCCTTTCCTAAGTGTCCATCCTTCATGTTTTATGGCAAAACAATTTGTATGGACTATGGAGCTGGTAGACCCATCTTTACTCTTGCTGTTCATAGCCATGCAAATTGCAAGCTTCATATATCCGATTTTCCTTTCAGATGTCTTCCTTTTTTTTTTTCCCTTTTAATCATCCATTCCTTCCACCTCCTAAACCAGGAAAAACTTCCATAAATACCAATTTCTTTTTCAAAATACTCTTTTAGATGAAATTAGCGCCTAACTTAAACAATTCATGCTATCACTTCAAAAAATCGGCATTCAATAAGCTTAAAATTTAAATCTCAATACTTTAAATCTTTTTTTTTATCCCAGATTGCGGTGCCCTTTTATACAAAAAGATACTTTTTAGATTATTCTTGAGGTGCTTTTAAATCATTCTTTTCATTTTCTTGCTATTGGTACAGAAGGCAATGGAGATATTGGGGCTTTCAAGTGCTTGAGTCGAATGGACTTTAGGCCTTTTTTATATGTCCAGCTTGTCAAAAATGGATGGAACAAGTTCGACATCTCAATCTTGCAGCCCATTCTAGCCCTTATCCCATATGCCAAAGTCTGGGGCTGGGACAACAATAGAATTTGGGCCCCAAAACTATCATGCCTCCTTCTGGTTTCGATAGCTAACTTCACATTTTTACATCGTTTCCTCCGCAACTTTACGAATAAAATAAAATAAAAACAAATCACTCGAGGCCTTACCTTCGTAATAACCATAACACTTCTTCAAATAGGAAATTTTAAGTTTGGAACTCCGTGCAAGTGATAGAACAAAAGTATAAAAGATTAGCACCAAGTTTTATAATTTTTCCAAAGCTGTTTGAAAAGGGAAGGCCTGAAGGAGAAACAACTCTCTGTTAGTTTGTTTCAATTAAAATTTGCATTAAATCTTAATTAACAATCTCACCATCTGAATTTATTTCAAGATATCAATACAAAAAAAGTGGTAAATGTAGATCTAATTTTGGTAAAATTAACTGCTATATTACTTTCATAGCCATGATTCTATCTTTTATAAAAAAATTAATGGAAATTATCTTGATTAAAAGAGAAAATTGGTAAGACTATAAAAATTATATTACTCCAAGCTCTAAAAAATTTTAAAAATATATAAGGAAAAAGAGAAGAAACAAGGATTATTACGTGAGGTCACCCAAAGGCAAAACAGGCCGGTGGCACAATTCTAAATGGGGATAACATGTTTTTTGGTCTGAAATATTCAAGGAAGATTATGGGCATGGGTGGCTGAAAATGCTGGTAAAGATGAAGATGATAATAATAGTGGACAAAAGTATTAAAAGCTGGAAAAAATTATAAAAAAAAAAAAAGAATGGGGATATGAAATTAATGATTGCTGGATACAAAGAGAATGATTGAGCACACGAGAGAGTATGTTTGAAGGCATACATAGTTCAGTGGTCAACATTTCTCATCATCACTTTTAAACCAATTAACTCACATAAATAGTTGTAATTTGTTTTGTTATCTTTCTGGATTCTTGCTTTTAATTGTGATGATAATGTCAACATTTCATTGTTCATTTAGATTGGTTTATCTTAGTAAAATCATAGGATTCTCATAAATTGGAATATATTCTTGGGATTTTCATGATGCCTAGATGATGCATGCCCAAATAATTGTAATAATAATAGCAGAAAGGAAAAGATAATGTTTAGGGTAAGAGTAGTGAAATTAAACCTGCATCATCCAACTTCTTGTACATTAACTTGTTTATATATATAAGTCGTCAAAGATGAGCTTGATGGAGCTTAAGAATACATGGCTTTATCCAAAATATATATTAATGTTTCGTGTCACAAGAATTTTTATGATTAACAACAAAATCAGCTCTTCATAAGATGTTTAATCTATTTGATAAAGAAATGATTTTTTTTTTTATCACTCAAAATTCGATATTTGTGGGAAACATTTATAAAATAAAATTTTAAAAATTTATGTCTTTACGAGGGAGTTTAACATAAAAATTACGCGAAAAAAGAAAATTTTAAATAAACCAAAAAATACTTTTTATTGTATTATTAAAAAAATAACAAAAAAAGCTGCAGCACTAAACCATATTTAACCTTTAATTAGGCACGCATGAGTCTCTAAAGATGGAACAATTAACCTTTTTAGGAGATTAATTTGTCAAACTTTGGGGAAAGTGAAAAAAATTCACACATGGATTCAATTAGCCAATTAAACGTTAAATTATTATAAGTGCATGATGAAGGATCGATGTTCATGATGATCATCATTTTCTCACTAAAATGCAGTAGTTTTAGGGTCTTTTGTCCCTGCTTTTTCAGCATCAAAAAGCATCCCAGAAGAAAAATGGGACCATGAGAAATAATGATGACGATGATGGTTGGTGATGATTATGATAACGAAAGAAAGCATGGCAAAATGCTTAATGATTATGTCTAGGAACTGAACATGCAAGATTCTTCCATTCCAGGGGTTGCTTGCTCGACTGCCTCTGTCTTTTATTTGCTCTTAATCTGCCTAAAATCATAAATTAAACCCAATTATTTGTCCAACCATGCAAAATGATAGAATGAAAGCATAGCTTCATTATACCCAATTTCTTTTGATTGGTTTACTTCTAAGAACTAATATTGTTATTCCTGAAATTTACAAACAAGCATGCCTATGTTATATGCTTATTTTATTTTTTAAAATTTTTTGAAATTTAAATATATAAATCAAAATTATATTCACAATCAAAAAATTTTATTCTGCCTTACACGACATTAACTACACTAATTTATAGAGCAAAATAGATTGAAAAAAAATCAAATAAATAAATTAAATCAACGTAAAATTAAATGAAATTCACGTATAACATAAAAATCGAGCTTGATTAAAACAAGAGTTTGTTAACTTACATTTATATGACTATTTTTTATTCCTAATTTGATCTCTCTTATTTTTAAAGGTTAAAAAAGTTATTAAAATGCCTTATATAAAAAAAAAAATTTGATTGCGCAACATGTAAAAAACATTTAGACTTTAAAACTTTTTGCATTTTTAATTGAAAAATAAATATTTTAAAATTTTATTCAAATTATATCTTGCGCCTTTTATCGTTTGACTTTATCATAAAAGTGAGGATCTTACTTATGTGTTAGTGGGTCTTACTTTGTTTCAAAAGTTAAATTAAGTAGGGTTGATGTTACATATATAACTAATCAGCTCATTAGTCAAAAGATAATAGTGCCAAACATGATTTTTGTGATGAGCTTAATTGCTAACAATCATGTGATTTATTTATTAATAAAATATTAAATTCTTAATTTCAATGATTAATTTTTAATAATTTTAAATTAAAAAAAAAAAGAATTTACTTCACAACATTGTTGTAAGGAGCAACAATGAGCAAGAAATCATCAAGTTATATATATGTAATTAATAACTATGTGAACTATTTGTACTTAATCCATAATTATTCCTCATTATTTCTTGATTTTATTTGATTATTATCATCAACGCTATATTATTGATTCTCTTTTATCACCCAATAAGCAACAAGTTTAATAGCAAAATAACATGATTTTTTTTGCTTTGAAATCTTCACCTTTTTCCCCTATTCCCATTTGTTCTTAGCTATAGTTTTATGCTATGGGCCACACAAGTTTTGACTTTATAGACAGTGATTATATATAAATTTAATCAGTTTTTTATAATGTAAGTTTTGGACTATTGGTGTGACCCTCAACATTTAATTCAAGTGTCAAATGCATGCATCCTTTAAAAAAAAAAATTTAAATCTCTTCTTTCTCTTAAATAAAATTAATATTATATACACACGTACGTATGATCTCGTTCACGTTTAAAAGGATAAAAAGTTACTATGAAATATATATAGAAATTGATTAAATGGGATAATCTAATAATTTATAAAAAAAAATGAATATTTATAAAGTTATTATTTATTATTTTTACATTATTTATAAATAATCAAATAGTCTAAATTAAAAAAAAAAAACTTTTTATATTACAATCATAAATACTTCCAAGCATTGTTTGGATTCTTTTTTTTTTTCAAACAATCTTAAGGAAGCATTTTTCAAAATTTACGTGATACATTTAAGATTTTACTTTTAAAATAATTTTTCAAAAATTGAATCTTGACTAAATAAACGCATCTCTTTATTAACTAAATTAATTCTTATATGTAAAAAGAACAAAAATAAATTTAATTGTCTATTATTTATATTATTTTTTACATAAAAAAGTTAAATAAAAAACAATACCATAGAAATCCACACAAATTTAAATATAACTAATTTCTAATGATATTTTTATAAGTAAATAAATAAATAAAAAGATTTTTTGTTTGATTAGAAAAGCTAATTCGAGGAAAAATAAATTATGGGTAGATTTGAGGGTTTTTTATGCGTATATATAATCAAATATTAGTTATTTTACTGCAATAAAAGGAGAAGTAAAAGACAAATCATTATGAGATTCATAAAAATCCAGAGGGATGAATGATGGTAAGAAATGATCCTAAATCCATATTAAAAAGTTGCACTCAGACCCACTTTTGAGATTAAAACATCCGTTGAATTCAAATAAAGCTAACCAGATTTTCTTGCTTTAATTTTTTCTGTCACATATTTAAAGTAACTAAGCTAAAACTTTTTTTCTTTAATAATCTTGTTCTAATGGAAATGACCTTTTGAATGTTTGATAATTTCCAAGCGAAAGAAGAAAAAGAGAGAAAAATGAGGATGGAAAGGTGAGTCTGACTGTTGCGTAAAAAGGATTGAGATTTGGGACACTCAGAAACAAACCCCACAGCACATTCAGAGAGCTGACAAAGGAGGCACCCACCCACCCCTCCATGGGCACATGCAGAATAGTTATCATTACAAAAATTTGACTGTCCTTCTCGGTCTTGGGGCTGGGGCACCGCCTCCATAGCCCATACAACGGCTGATATCAATGGCCTAATTTTCTCTCATCAACTTCAATTAGTGGGTCAGCTACCACCATCTCTAGGGTATTCTTTTTTGGGGTTGCCCCTCAGATCATGGCAGGCTCCTTCAACCATCAAAATCTCTACCTCCATTACTAGAATCTTTTACCAAGTCAAAACCTGTTTCCAAATCCAAGCACCTCTTTTCTTGTCAGTAGGAAAATCATTAATTATTATTAAAAAAAACTTGTTTTAGAAATCTGTTTCCATGATGCCAAACGAGCGACTGTGAGCAACAA